CTACTTTGTCTGGAGTTAATGAAGTCCCATTCATGCATGTATATTCTTAGGTGTTTGCATACACGCTGTCTGAATTCAGATAATCAAGGACCGTCTTGAAGCAAAACTCATATTCTTCCTATAAATTAAGATTAAACTTCCATATTAAGTTATTCATTTATTCCTTTAATCAAATACTTTCAGTAAAAACAAGAACTTTATATGAGTAAAAAGATACCTTGGTAGATATCATTTCCGGTCTTCGACACTGCAGTTGCTGAACTATGGTAAACAGATCAACCTCATCATCTTGTTGTAGTTGCTCTATTGCGTTATAAATAGCAATGAATACACTGCAACATATTGCTCCGTCCCTAGAAAAGTTACACTTGTCATTAAATGTTATGTAGCACACAGACATGCTTGTCTATGCAAGAATTCGTTTCACTTATACGAAATTTTTTTTTAGAGTTATATTAAAAAATCATACTAAAGGAAACGCTTATTTGTAAGTATGTATTAGACGAATATATGTACGTTAAGCAAAAACGTTTGATACTCTTGATATTCTAACTTACCTAAAAAATGTATAAAAGTAATTCAAAGAACTATATACGGTAAGGGCGTATTCCTGCCCCCATAATAGTCAAATTTTGAAAATCACTTGAAATGAGCAAAAGTGCATATATTGTATAAAATAATCCAAATTAAGACAATATATTATGAAATTGGAAAAAATAATTGGCTTTTCTTGTTTCTGTGACGTCACAAACTATTTGGATTTCCGTTATTTTTAAAATAGAGGCCAAAATGCACAGAGTTTGTTCAATTTTGACTATAGTATTTATAGAGCGCAAGCTTGCTCAGGTACCATATTCACATATTTCATTGATATTATCATTCTACACATTATATCAAAAGATCTAGTCTGAGCAGACCTGCGCTCGATAATTTCCAATCAAAATACCGACGTAAAATACACTATTTTCTCTCAAAATCATTGCAATTTGGAATTTACGTCATTTTATTGACGTCATATCTAACTAATGATGTCATAATTGATAAAAATATTTAATGTTTTGAAATCTGCAAATATCTTCCTGGTTTAGAACATAATTAAAGACTTCTCCATCAAAGTTTTATTTTGGGGGCAGATACTGGCCACTACAGAATATACATGTAGTCCTTTGTTTAATAAAAACCATAGAAAGCAATCCTTTACTACAACGATCATTTTTTCACTCAGTTAAAAAAAGTACATTTTTTTTAAACAGATACAGGTAGGTCATGTGTTCAAAATCCGTAAAGTCCAAATGGGCTTTATGGTAGATTTTTGATCACGTATCCCCTGTTTCTATTTCCCAATAGCTGTTTTAAAATGACACGTTATTTACATTTTTGAATTTTTTATAATGCATCTATATATATATATATATATATATATATATATATATATATATATATATATATATATATATATATATATATATTATAATCTTTAACGCGAAATGTTTAATTTTTCAAATCTCAACGGCATAAATTTGATACATTGAAGGCGCATTTGATACATTTGACGTCACTGAGAAATTACGTCAAAACGTTTATGGCGTTTGAAACCTGTGTTTATACCGCAATAGATATACGGTGCTCAAAAATAAAGGTCCCATATAAGAGAATTCAAATGCAAGTGCAAATATTGCTTCATAACAGGATTCTTTTTATTATTCTAAAAGAAGTACAATGTTTTGCTCATTTCATTTTTCAAAATATGTGTTGAGGTGTCTGAATGTAAGAAAAAAATTCAAGTGAGAAAAAAAGGAATTTGGATTGATTCAGTATTGCTAGGACTCTTTTTTATTGCATCTTAGGAACAATTATGAGTGTTCCCAGTCTTAAAAATGAAGCTTTATTCACATGCAAAAGTTTTGATGTACTTATAAAATAGCATCTCCGAGCATACAATCTACAGGGATAATACATTAATTTATTTGAAATACATGTATATGAACATACTTGGAAACAATGGTTATTGGTCCATCTTGTTCATATTTTCTTTCAAGGCAGAAATGTTTTATCAAATCTGTTATTGTAGAGGGTTCCTTTGGTAGGATCTCATGGCAATTCCAATCAAGACATTCAAATATATGCACTAGGTGTATCTGATCATCCTATAATTAAAAAGTGTGGTTAAGATAGTTCTGAAAAACAATTGAAAATGCTCACAAAAATGCCTCCGAATTCTCAAATAACGTGTATTTATCCATGAATTTTTGTTCAAAGTTTATTTATTATAGTAAATTATATTACATGTATAATGGGAGAGTTATCAAATTTCAAGTATATATAGAACCGTCCGCTCTGCATTTTTGACTGAACATCAATTAACAAATATATTTTAGGATAAAATACTCTACATATCGTGGTATATGGAGAAAATTGCATTTATTTTATACTTATGTGGCACTTTTACTCTTCTATTTACTTCAAATGTCATATAATGCATAGCATGCTATCATTGCAAGACATCACAATTCATTTCTGATTCATATCCTATTATTGCACAGTGGTACTCAAGGAAATTTGATTTCTCTAAAATTGTATCTATATTTTGTGTATTTTATGGGATACAAATGTCAATTTTCACACGACCATTTCTAAAACTTTAAAGAACCTTGAATCATATTAAATGCAAGAGAAAATTTTTTTGCACGAAAAGATTTTAATTTCAAGCTTTATTTTGAGACTTTTTTTTTCAATGGAATGACATTTTTAAGAGTTGCTGTTTCTAGTCGAGGATCTGACATTCTTAAGAAAATATAACGTTTTTTTTTTTCGAGTTGTTATAGCATAATTACAATCATGCATTGCCTCAGTTATATTGTTTTCAAATATATATGCTTTTCAAGTATCTTTTTTGTAAATTGCAAGAAATTAGTTTTTACCTGATATGCCTTCGAGCAAAATTAATGTTTAAGAAAACATTCGACATAGAAAACAGAAGGATCCCAGTTCAATTTTTGACTTTCAGTAAGCTTTATCTTTTCATTTTTTTTTCCATCTGCACTGTCTTGTTTATTTTTAAATGAAAATAAACTCACACGTTTTCTTTTGATTTGAATGTCCGTTTTTCGCAACGCATTTGACATCATTGCAGAAGTTTTCTTTCTGATTTCATATGGAGCCAACTTTACAGTCTTCACTCCGTCGTCAATCCAGTCTATCAGCTTTTGAAAGAAAGAAAAAAGTTACACGGATAATCATCACTTTCAAAAACTATCAAATCTGATTTTTTGACATATTAATTACCCCTTTGATTTCTGATAAAGGGTTTAAGGAAACCAAGAATGACGAGTTCTGATCAACCAACAGCCGAACAAGATCAATGGCGGCTCCTGACACTGGATACTGTGCTGAGATAAACTCATCAGCTCTTGTAAACGACTAAAAAATTAATTTCAAAGCGTTCATCGACATGTACTGACCCTACAATTTCCGGGATATTAAATATATAATTTGTGATATGTACTGAAGATCACTAATTTTTCACGCTATCTAATCTTTGCGAGATTTTTCGTTTTGTAATTTTAAGCGAAAAGAAAAGAAAAATACAATCAATTGTTATTGCTCTTTATATTCTATTATAGTGAATTATACTCGAAGGTGATGTTTTTGGCAAACAGAAAATCTCGTGATAATTCCCGAAAAAAAAAATAAAATCAAAAGTAAAAATAAAAATACAGTTTCAACTCTATGAATGCAAAGACGTTTTGTTTGGTATATTACACTGATTCAATTTTTGTGTAATTTGTACATCTAAAAACTCAGAGAATATGTTGAAGACCAATGATATTGTTTTCTATATTTGTTAATATTTTGATCATTTGATAAATGATTATTACCGACACATGTACAGCGTTATAGTACTGTCCTCGTCCTTTTACAGTTGAGGTTAAATAAACCAGATATCTTTCAACTAAAATATAATTACAACATATCTTAATATTCTCCTTGAACACTAAAAAATATGCATCGTTCTTTGAAATTTTCATATAATAATCGGTTGTTATTGATAAATTTATAAATATTGAAGACACGTGTATTTTTTTTATTATATCAATGTAAATATACAATGTAATTTGATAACCTGGTAAAATAGAGTTGGTAAAATTAAGCATGGCATTCTTCCGACCTGTTTTGAAATCATCTTCGACGTGATTTAGCTTTAAACTAGTTACTACCTGAAATAGAAAAAGCAGAATGTAGTGCATTTTTCTTTATTAATAGTATAGAAACAGCTTGATTTTTTTTATTTTTTTATTTTTATTTTTATTTTTTTTTAACAGAGGACTTTGCTTTTTGGAACATGAAAACAATTCTGTAGATACTCGTAGGTTTAGAGGAAACAGCTGTAATAAATAAAAGAAACTTTCCACATATTGTATATACATGTAGATTAAAAGAACTATGACTAATCTGAGCAAGTAATACCTCTTGGAGCATTTAGGAGAAGAAAAAAAAATCTGAATTTGACATTATTATATCTTACCACCCCCCCCCCCCCCCCCCAGGTTGTGATGCATATGCTTGCTTTAATTAATTTAATATATAAATATAAACAATAAAATGGCTTTCTTAAGGTGTTTTATGAGAATTAACGTTGCAGTTGCAGAAAAAGTAACATAACCCTCTAACGCGGGATATGCATTTTTTTCTACAATAGCTGCAACATAAATTCCCATACAAACAATCAGAGAAAGTAAATTATTTTTTCAATGGATTCTATAATGTTATATAAGCACAGGTTGTATACTCGACCTCTTGAAAAATGGCGGCTACCTTGACAAAGACAGAACATTGTAGTAATGATTCAAATTGAAATTTGTTTAATGGATAATTAACTCTCTTTAATTAATAGTTACGTTAGCATAAACTTTGCAATACCGACTTTAATTTAAAAAAAATGAACGACTTAGCTCCAGCGTGTAGTGTAATCTACATTCGTGAGTTAATTGCATTGTACCTTAGCTACTGACAATCAGTAAATGCTAAAACAAAAAGTAAAGTTGGTAATCAATGACTGAATCTGATATTTCTTCGCAGAATAAACATTCTGCTTCAGTAATAGTGCTTTAACGCATATATGAGATTGCTTTTAATTGGCTTCCTCATTTAATTGAACCACATTGTTTTCAAACAAATATTCCATTGTTGCACACATATGATTCTGTTTCTATATATTTTTATTAATTTGATAGCTTCCTATTTATAAAGCATATTTGAGCTATGTCTCTGAATCTTTTAAATGCTTATGATATTTGTGATTTATATAATTTAAAAACCATTGAGATTACAATAGTTGCAACATTTCAAAATTGCAATGCTCACATTGAACTCATTTCTAAGTCGCTTCCTTGTTTCCGGTCTCTCTGTTTCTCCATATAACTCAAAAAACTCTCTCCTGCTGACAAAGTTCCTTTTACTTTTAAAATATTCATGTAGTGCATGGTAGAGGAAAGCATATTGATCCTAAAACACATTGTCTTTAATTAAATCATCCAAACACACCAATACACATTCTGTCAGTTAAACAAAAAATGATTTGGTATTTGAAAATTTTTACCAGCTTTAATACTTACTGCATTTTGAACCATAGTCATTCTATCTTTACGCATACTCTTTACAAACTCGATGACATTGACTTTACCCTTTTCGTCCCCGTACCTGGACAGAACGTCCAAAGCAATAAACGTTCCTGTTCGCCCTATACCAGCACTTTAAGACATAAAAGAAAATTAATTTCAAAATACAGGTTTTTCCTCCTTGTTTTTCTAATAGTCCTCATAAGAAATTGCGATTGCAGGATAATTCTCAAAATGCAAAATTACAGTGCAGGAAACTAATTTTGTTACAGCATCGATGCTGATTTGAATGCTTCCTTTGCTTGCTGATTTGAATGCTTCCTTTGTTTGCTGATTTAATGCTAGTAATCCTTATCCTGATGCTGTTTTATAATTAGGTCAATGCTACCGGAAGTAGCATCATGCTACCGGAAGTAGAAAATGAATTTCAGCATTGCCGTTTAAAGCAATAAAAGTGCCTTTTACAATTATTTGATCATAATATCTCACTATGTATTAATAATGTGAATACTTTAAGCAATATTCTTTCTTTCTTTTTCAATTTTGTACTGAATTAAAACTCATTGATTTTCTGATGCTAGTAGGATAATGCTGATTTTATGTAGGTCAATGCTGGTTTTATCCTTTGCTTGCTGATGCTGATCCTGGTAATGCTGTTATTTAAATGCTGATGCTGATGCTAGCTCGATCCTGATGCTACTAATGCTTATGCTAATGCTGGTTTAAGTAACAAAATTAGTTCCCTGCACTGTAGATGCACCATTTTATAACAAAATGATAACAACAGAAAACTTTGTTTAAAAGCTAAAGAGATAATTGAGCACTTATTTATCTCCATAAATTTTAGATACACATTCATTGTTTTGCTTATCAAACAGGCAGCATTTTTACAGCATTAATTTCACTCTGTTTAACGATTTTGCAGCTTTCTTATTTATTGATTATTATTATTTATTAAGTACTAGTATTAATAACATATACATATATAGTCCGTAAACATAAGCAGTCAAATTTGTCCATGAATCATGTGTTCAAATGAATAATTAATTACAGTTATTTTAATGCTTGTTAATGAACCTACTGCAAGAAATTAACAAACGTTTTAAAATCAGACCTGCAATGTACAATGATTGGATGATTTGATGGTCTAATTTTGTGCCGGAAGTGACGATGAAAGAAGAGCAGGGATAAAGGATTTGGTGTCCTATGATCTGGCCAGCTTGGGAAATGAAACTGCACCACCGTCCTTGATCCGCTGACCTGATTTATAAATCAATGTAGGTTTTAAATGTTTCCAACTGGAGCAGAACTAATTCAAGTTGCGGACAGCTTAGTTTGACAGCTTAGATACATGTAGTATTATAAAACCTACCTTCTTCTTGCGCAAATTAATTTTCCTGACAACATGATAAGCATATATTTTCTCTTCAATCAACTTCACAGAAAATTGGTCAATATTTAGTTCACTCCCTTCATCTGGCCAATACTGATGGCATTTCACCTAAAATGATAAGTATTGATTGCGATTATTAATTACATACAATGATTTTATACATAAAGAGGAATCAGAACTGTGTTGTTGAGAGATTAAGGCGACAGAATAAATGATTTTCTGTTCTTCAAACCTTTGGTCCCTCAATAAGGTTGGTCAACATAACGATATATTCTACATTCTCCTGCCAAATCATTCTCCAATGGTCAACAATAGTGTTACATTGGGGACCTTAAAGAAAGTGCCAATACAATTTTAAGGTGTATTTTTTCTATAATTATTGAGTTGCTTTGTAAATGGTTGTCACTGTAAGAAAAAGTGTTTGTTTGGATAGAGATTTTAACAAAAAGTCAAATTTATCTTCTATCATGTGTTTAAAGAAATACCTTGACATGCAATATACTCTCGTCTCCCTGTCATATTCTTTAAAAAAAGAAGAAATAGCTGATTAAAACACTTTCCTGGACTTCTGATAAAACTGATAATATTTTAATTATTAAGACAATGGTGTGTTGATTAACTTACTTCAATGTAATTTGCATTTATATAATCTGAAAGATATCCGTCCTTTGTTTCCAGAAGAACTCTTGAATGATCATCTTTAAAAAGAATAAATAAAAAAAAATAATTGAATGTTTTAAATTAAAAAAAAAATACTATATAGTATTTTTATCAAATTAGTTATTTCATAATGTAGGTAATAAAATTCATCTTATTAAACAAGACGTTTTCATGCATGCAGTATTCAATATTTTCGATTCAAACCAAATTCAAATGCATAAATCCCGTAAAGTTCTATAGCGTGCCTTTCATCACGTGTTTCAAGTCTTTGTGATCATTGATCATAAATTGGTTCTTAATATGAATTTCAGCATGATTTTCTTAAAGTTATTTTCAATTTGCTAATTTATCAATTAAAACCAAGAGCAATGTTAGCAGTTCAAGAAACATGACATAATTTTATTTTTTCAGAGTGATTCAAGTTATTTTCATTGTAAATGAAATCAAATACCACATTCAATGTATTTGTATCTTATTTCTATCTTTGAAATCCTGACACAATAAAATTATATACTGAAAAAATACATACATGGGAATACTGTTTTAAATCTATTTTTCGGCAAGTTTTCTTCTAGGTGTGAGGTTGTGCATTCAAATCTGACTCCATAAGGAAGCGACTTTTTAAAAAAAAAAAAAAAAAAAAAAAAAAAAAAAAAAAAGGTAGTGTGTAATGCCCATAAAAGTAAAACAGATAAAATAGTAAAAATATGAAATTTATGAACACAAAGGAAGAAAATAAAATGTAATTCCAGCATATAAGGTTAAACAAATGGAATGAAACAAGTTTGCTGATGATATTTTACTTCACGAAAATTCAGGTCGTATTGAATACAGTTATACCTTGAACTCTTTGATAAATCCTGCATTTTCATTTGTTTCTCTTTGTTTGATAATATTTTGGAGATCCTTTATACTAATGTCCATAGCCATTGACAAATTATTATAGTAAACGGCTTCTTCCGGTTTCTCTTCATAGGGTTCTTCTTCAGGGTCTTCAATGGGGACAGATAAAAATGCCATGTTGGTGTATCCTTCGAAAGAAAAACAAATGATTTTGTATCACATTATGAGTCTTGAAAGTATGGTTCAGATTAAATATTTAGATTTAATTAATACTTTTTTTTCATAAACAATAGGCATTTTGATTATCATTTTCACAAGAATTGTCTTTAAACACACAAATAACGACTCTTGATTTTTAATATTTGTAAAATATAATTTTGTCGTCTTTGTTCCATGGAAATCAATAAAGATATTTTCTTTTCTTTTTTTATTACAAAGTTTTCTATTAAGTTGCTTAATCATTTTGAACATGTTAGTTTTTAATAATATGTAAGTATGATTCAGAGTTAAATATATAATGGTAAATAATTTATCTACCCGTTGTGTTTATATTAGAGGACATATGGATTTCCAAGGTTGAGGAATTGTTACTCTCTGTGTGTCTTCTTATCCTTAGTTCAAAGTAAAAATAATAATTGAATGAAAAAAAAATCAGGTTACAGAGCATTAAAGGCGACAATTGAATGATTAAAAAGCATTTACTACATTTAGATAAAGGTTCCATTTTAAAAAAAAATAATTAAAAAAAAAATAATAATAATAAATGATTTATATAACATTCATATTAGAGAATATACTCGGTTTTCTGGAGTTTAATTTAATTCAAAACTCTATGTCCGACTTATAGCCCATTCCTTAAATATTGGTATTTTTCTGGGCGGTTTAATGTAGTAATTTTTAAACAACTCTGATAATTATCATTAAAATGTCTGGACGTATTATTTTTTATGTATTCTAATAATTTACTTTAAAGTACAAGTCTTCATATTTTTAATTACTTATCATTTATTTATTTGTAGTATTGTGTATTATTTTTTTAACTAATTACTTATCTACGTCTTTCAATAAATTGTGACTTATTACAGATCTATGGTATATCGGTAAAATTGAAATACGAACCCGAAATTGCGATTGAAATATATTCTTATGTACCGTCTTAAAATAATTTAATAATAGACTTAAAATTTATTAATTAAAAAATAATTCAGAATAAAATTCTTAACTCTATTTAAAAAACAAATGAATCAAGTGTGGCATTTATTATCAGAAAGAAATATGGCGTGGACATTGAGCACTTCAAAATTATAAATTTTAGCGCCAATTCGCAACATTATTTGAAATATAGGTGTCAACCGATTCTGGCAACAAGTTTTATCTACTTATAAGCGGATCAATGGCAAATCCTTCCAATAAGAGCTTAAAAAATACTACCCACTTTTAGTCGGACCGACTTACAGGCGAGTATATAGGGTTACATCTATTAGTCATTCTAATTCTATGTGTGATGTATAGTATTACATTTGCAATGAAAATAAATTTACTATCATATGTTCCATCGTTATAATATCTTTTAATTAATCAAACAGATGTCAATACAATACTATTTGTCGTATTTTTTTGGTATTTACTAATGAAAAAGGATATATAGGTAGGCTATATTAAATTTGTCATGCAATGTATCTTGTATTCCGGAAAATCTGGATTTTTTATTACCGAGAAAAAAATAAAAAGAGAAATCAAGGCAAAAAAACCCAAACATTTCAATAGATCGAAGTTGATTGTTGGGCAACCATACATAAACTAGAAATAGGTGAGATATTTTAGGAATGACTCTAATTCTTGGCCAAATTATTCGAGTATAACCTGGTTTGGATCAGTTTACGCTTTATAATCCGCGAAGCGGATTATAAAACAGCGTAAACTGACCCAAACCAGGTTATACTCGAATAATTTGGCCAAGAATTAGAGTCATTCCTTATAATTTAATTTTAAAATCATTAAATAACTATGGGTGTAAAATTTCGTTACTTTTTATCAGTTCAAATTTGCCGCTCAATAATACAAACATAGTAACGGAAGTAACGGAAGTGATGGGAATCGAGGGGAGGTAAAAACTGATACATAGGCATAGCAGCCATGTTGTTTGGTTACATGTGGTAAGATCGAATTATTGTTTGAAATTAAAGGTACATTTATTAAATCTGGAATTTTCCATGAATCCCGAGGACTGGAAATGAGAGGATTGTATGGATACAGATGATTCAGCTGGTTGTCAGGGGGGTGTGTCCCCATACCAAACCAGGTTATACAGAAATAATTTGTGTTCCTTTTTGGATATTAACCAATCAGAGGCTAGTATACAAACAAAATTAAATTATTATGTATTGTAGTATTAACAAAGGTGTAATATCATGGTCTGAACTAACTATCATTTGTTGAGAAATTAATTACATAAAAAAGGTGGAAAATATTCGCTATCAATCTCATAGATATTGTTATCAATATAAATCGTGAAAATGGAAACAAAATATGGAAGCACAAAAAGTGGAATCAGGTGCTTAAGAGGAGTTCGCATTCTATTTCAACGTTAACCTCTAGTACTGATCAGATAATAATATCCAGCAAAAGTGTTAAGTAACAAACTAACTTGTAACTTAACAAGACCGAACAATAGGTTTTATTTACAAACAAGTTGTTTATATCTACCAGTAAATTTGCGCACTGTGTGTACTTTATACAAGATAGTTAAATTTGGTTAAAACTCGACTGCATTTAATGTTTTGCTTTCATAAACAAACATATTTCTCATTATTACTTCTAAATTATCAGGATCAATTACAAAAGAAATTATTTTTAAATATGATATGAGTAAACAAACCTGCATGCAGTAACTGAAACTATCACAACTAGGAAAATGACTAAAGCACCACCAACCCCAACACCAAGAACCGTTATACATTGTAGGCACCTCTTTTGTACTGCTTTTATATGTAGCGGACGTCTGAAATTCTTGAAGATATAAATCAGATTATAGGTTTTTCTTAGTGATATAAATCAATAGGTTTAGGAATGTGGAAGCATGATATAAATATTAAAAACATAACAGAAAAAGTACGTGCAGATTGATGACGGAGAGGTTTTTTTTTAGGGGGGGGGGGGGGTGGATCATTTTTAAAAGATATTGATTTATAAAAGAAAATATAATTCATACAAAAAACCTAGTTTTTATTGTACTATGTTAAACCAATCATTAGGCTTTTGGAGAAACATTTCAATCGTGCAAATATATATATAAGGTCTACACATTATCAATTTAGTTTGAAAATAAAATAGTTAATACGGATTAATATATTTTAAAATATGTATTTATTTTGGTCCAGTTAAGCTTTTTTCGTATTTATTTTTATTTTTACAAGCTACAATAATAGCTTGATCCACGTCTCAAGTACAGAGAAACTGCGTGTCAAACTAAGAAATGACGTCATCTCAGTAAGTACAGCGCGATCAAGCTGGCTTTCATTCTATATACTCAAAGTGCTATTTTGGTAAGATAAGTTGCACATCCATTTATCTTTATAATATTTATGAGAAACGAAAGTATTTCAGTGTGTTTTAAAAAGGACATATAGTATTTATTTATTGAGATTCATTTGAATTGTTTTAAATTGAAGTCATAATAGCTTTTCCGAACCTCTGCATTGGCTGACGTAGATATGGGAGCCCTTAACCTAGCTGCGTATGTCTGATATTAACAAATTGTTGGGCCATTATTTACCCACTGAGCTGTGTGTAGGGTTTTTTTTGCGTTTTTCTCGATCAAGGCATGGAGCACACGGTTGGTGTGGCCGGTCTGAAAGGGATGCTCACTGCTCCATGGCACTTATCCAATCTCTAATGATTTTTTTTTTTTTGGGAGGTCCGTGTTTGATTTCTCCCAGTTTGTTTTGTTTACATGGACTTTAAACTTAAATATTGTTCGTTATCTCCATATTTCATTCAATAAATGAAATTATCTTGATCTTTAGCCATTACCTTTTGTGCATTTGTCATCTGTAAAATCCCCAGAACATCCACCAATACATGATCCATTGTTAGCAAAACATGTCAAATTATAACAATGCTGGCTACATTTTACTTCGCAGAATTTACCATAAAAGTATGGACTACATTCTTCAAATACAAATTCACAAAGAGAGAAACCATCAGTAAGTAGATATTCTATATATAATTGAAATTATCCTTGAAAGAATTCGTTATGTGTAGATATAGCAAGACCAAACCAATTAAATACAAGACATTTTTTTTCCATTCAAGACAATGGCCATGTAGTTTCTATTTATAAAATGATTATTAAGAAGAATTTTTTGAGAACTCAATTTTTTTTTTTTTTTTTTTTTTTTTTTTTTTGGTTATACACACATTAATTTTCCAAACAATTTCATTTTAAATGTATTTTTGGAATATTTTTGGAATTAATATTGCGATTTCTTACAGAAATTTATTGACTATATTTTACCTGTACACTTATCCTCTTTCCATCCCTCTGCGCAACTGCAGTTTCCATTAAAACGTAAGCAGCTCTTTGAAAGACAGCCAGATCCACAGTTTTCGTGACACTCCGTACCAAATTTACCTTCGACACAGCCATTATCGCAATAGCCTGTAACTCTGTTGCACCCGTTATAACAATCGGGGTTACAATTTTTATTGCAAGTCTCCTTGAAGAATCCAGTGTCACATCCATCGTTGCAAACTCCAGTGATATTATTGCACATTCGACCTTTGCAGTTGATGCTGCACTTCTCAGAACAATTATGCCCAAAGTGCGAATCATTGCATTCTGTAGAAGGATTTATATTAATTTCTAATTCATGAAAAACTGCTTGGAAAATGCACTATAATATATATATATATATATAAACAACAGACCGTTGTGACAACAGATAAGCAGACCTCTGGTTTTTTTTTTTTTTTTGGTTAACCGCGTAATCGTTGACATCAAAAATATCGCTGGCATCTATGCAAACTTTACTACAATTTTACTATACTGTTGTTACACTAAAAATTGAACATCCTGTTAATGTTCCGTACTTATTATTTGCATAAAAGCTACAGACACTTACTGTTACAAAAGTATCCTGTCCAGTTTGATTTACATCCATAATAACATTCTCCAGTATGGAAATCGCAAGTGTTAAATTTACAAGATGGACTACATGTATGGTTACAAAATAGACCGTAAAAGCCATCCTTACATCCAGTACACGCACCATTAACTGCATCACAGCTCTGGGAATTACATTTAGAACTACACTGATGTTCACATTTTGGCCCATAATAAAGGTCTTTGCATCCATTGGTACAATATCCAGAAAACTGATAACATGTTCTATCCCGGCAATTTTCACTACATACTGTAGCTAAAAAAAGGTGGGATTTTTTTTTAAATATATACTCATATGAAATTAAGATCGAAGGAATTTGTGTTAGAATTCATATTTTTCACACAATTTAGGTCTAATTTATTCACTTACGACATGAGCCATTAATGATGTCGCAAGT